GCCTGGTGTGTAAGCTTATAAGAGACCACGTATGGTAAAGTATGTACAGTATTCCTTGACGGTCGCTGAACCTCTTAAGTATTTTTAAAATCTATTTGCTCTCGTAATTAGTTGTTAGTTTTATTTTTGAGAATGTTAACATTTCTTATTGAGCTGTGAATAATAATAACCAACAAAGCAAAGGCATGTTGTAGCATGAAAAACGTCAGAAAATTTAAAACAGCAGATGCTAATGAGAAAGGGACTGATGCTAGGAAAGACTCAGAGGATGTACTGCTGGTGAGAAGGATGAAGTGGAGTATCCTAAGGGACTCAGCACTAGCCATTGTCAGAGCTCGGAGTAGAACCATTTCAAGGCAGCCCACCAGCGTTCCAGATTGGTCTCCACTACAAGAATCCCACAGGTTGAAGAACTCTGCATTGCTAAGCCGACACAGCCTTAAGTTTCCAAACGAAAGAACCATGAAGGCATGAGTGGAGCTTCTGGGTTTCTTGCTGTAAATGTTATGCTCATTAAGCCCAGAGGGTGGAGAAAAGGTGAGGTATGACAGGGAAAGTCAGTACCCTAGAGATGAAGACTGAAATTCAAAATGTTAAACTGGAGGAAAGAGAAGCAAAACGTATGAATGGTACTAGTGAGAGCTGTACATTTATCCAGGCAGACGTCTGCACACTGTGCTAAAGGATTTGGAGGGACACGAGCTGAGGCTGAGAAAGAATTACTTAATAGAGCTATTTAACATGAAATTATGGACATTACACAAGACCTATAAATTGATGATGATGTTAAAACCTTCTGGTAATCAAAAGAATATTAGAGCAACAATGAATATTACGTTCTGCTTAGGAAATCTGCAAGTTTAGAAAATGATAACAGTGTCAGAGTATTTGAGGAAATGGGATATCTCATATAACATTGGTGTGGGGTATGTGGGTAAACTGGTACAATCTTTATAGGAAGCAATCTGTCAATGATGTAAAAAACTATTAACATTCAATAGCTCCATATTCATTTTTTAAGAATCAGATATGCGTAAAAATTTCAAAACAAGGGTGTTCAGCGTTGTTTTACTGATAGTATGAAAAACAACTGACATGGCAAACCAGTGCTAAGATGGGTTACATAAATTATGAAACAAAGGAATTTGTTGCAGCTATTAATGACCATATTTTAGATCAGTTTTAGCACTGCAGGAAAAAATGCATTTATATATTATGAAAAAACAGGGCAAAAATATTACAGCATAATGTCAGTTTTCTTAATGTGTTTATGTTTGTGTGTGCATATACTATAAAGAAATGATTGGATATACATACATGGACACATTGATTGTTATCTCCCTGCAGTACATTTACAGGCAATTAAAAATTTTTTCTTTGCATTTTCTGTTATTTTACCAATTCTTCTGAATTAGTATGTACATCTCAAATATGTTTTTATACTAGTATTTCTGTAACTAATAACCAAAGTCATAGTATGTGGACCTGTTTTTCATATCTATACCTGTGGAGATTGAATCAGCTCATCTCTGTGGTTCTTTGTTTCTCATATTTTAAAAAATATTTTATGAAAAAGAAGATGGTGATGCAGAGATATACATACACACACACAGACAAACAAGACATTATAAAACAAATGATGCCATAGTCAGAAAGAAAAGTTTCAGAGAGATGGCATGTGTTTTGAGTGGAAATCCCCTGTGGCGCTACTCGTGAGCACTTGGCCTGGACATGGACATCCTTTTCAGTATCACTGTCTTCGAAAAGTAATAATGTTGATGATGAGTAAACAACAGACAGTACAAATAGAGGGCTATATACACACTGCATCCTATGTACACTAAGATGGTCATTCTGTATATAAAGAAAGCAATAGGAATTAGGTCTCAGGACCAGTATTTACACTATAATATCTCTTAAACTTTCTGAACTTTTAATTTTTAAATATATGAGTTAATTTCACCATAAACTTCTCCCCTTTTTGAAGGAACAAAGGAATTTCCCTTGTAACCTCAGAACAAGTTACTAATTTACTAATGATGCTTGAATTCCCTTTGATATTTTAAACCCCCAGATCACCTGATCTTTTCTGAAAGATAAACACAACCTTAATAAATTATACTTGAAAGTTACATTGATATCGTTTACTGTTTGGAAGCCTTTAAAAAGCGAAAAACAAGTGTTCTGTTGTTGATGTTATAGTGAAGAGCGGGAAGAACTCTTAGTAGTAAATGCTGAACTTACTTTAAGCTTTTTGGATGCTTTATCAAACCTTCATCAAATCTGATAAGAATGGTAGAGCAACCATGGTCCCATTGGGAAAAAGTACTCTCAAGGTTGGTAGCTCAAGTTCCCACACTGCCATGCTAGACTAAGTCACGAGTCTAGGTTCCATAACCCATGTAACCAAAATAATTAAAAGAACAGAAAATTGATCTTATGAGAACAGGGTCCTATGTAAGGCACTCTGGGATACAGAAGAAATGAAACCACCTATACTTAGGATAAAAATCAGTTTTTCCCTACATTAACTCAGGAGAAAAAAAAGCAGTAACAGAGATGAATGATTTAAACTCCCTGTGAGGGTGAGTCCTAATAATGAGGATTGTTAAATAAGGGAACAAAATTTTGAGAAGGACTTAAGTACTTATCTAAATTCTTATTGCACAAATCAGTAACAAACAGATCTCTAGGAATCATCTTATTTCTCAGGAGAAAAACATAGTTGTAGGACTTCTATTAAGCTAATCTTGGGTTAGCCTAATCTCTGGTGTAGTTAAGTATTTTTTTTTTTGTTTGTTTGTTTTTTATTTTGTTTTGTTTTAGCTGAGATTACAAAGCAATCATCTCTCTCCTCTCTTTTATATGGAAGCTCATGTAACAGACACTGTTATACTTTATAAATGTGGGAAGAGATTTTTAGGGAGGTTAACATTTTTCTATTCCCAGAAAGATTTTTAAGTAGAACTTTTTGTTTTAGCTGAGATTACAAAGCAATCATCTCTCTCCTCTCTTTTATATGGAAGCTCATGTAACAGACACTGTTATACTTTATAAATGTGGGAAGAGATTTTTAGGGAGGTTAACATTTTTCTATTCCCAGAAAGATTTTTAAGTAGAACACGTCAGTTCCAATTTTCTAGCTGAAATACGTTGCCATCTAACAGCAGGGATGAGTGGATTAGAAACTCAGAACTTCCATTCCTTCTTCACTAATTTGCTGGGAATGGAACACAGAGAGCGACAGGAAATGCAAATGCTATTCTGGCCTTTACTTGCCTGAGAGGAGCTTTTCCCTTGAAGCTTGAAGCCTGAGTTATTTTTTTGATGAATGACGAGTCCAGAACTTTAGACATACTCTATCTAAAATTCACCTAAATTTTGACAATTCATTCAATGAAACACACATTTGGGAAGGATATTTCTCCCCCACGCATAATGGTTATCCTACTACAAATATAACAAAGGGTAAAAATTTGCCTTTTGGGACTGAAGTCTAAGTACAATTTTATTATGTGTAAGTTCCCACCCAATACTTGAATATTAAATATATTTGTAAAAGAAAATTTCTTTTGTACTTGGGTGGGTCTTTTTCTTTAAATAATAATGTATCAAAACATCAGTGTGCACCAAAATACCTTCTGAGGAGGCTGCAAATAAAATTCTCTCTGGGATGAAAAGTACCTACAAATAAACTAAAACCAGTATTTACTTTTACTGGTGTAATAACTGACTTTGGTTATGCTTGATTCAAAGCCTCTGGAATAATGTGCGAATACTCCTCTTCAAACTGGAGTCAACTTGGGCTCTCCTGGGATGGGCCCCTTCCTTAAGAGTCCTGTCAGGATGTCTTGATGGTGCCCATACTGCATTTCTGGAAAACCTGTCTCAATCTAACAGTTCCCTTGAATGTTACCTCCTACAAATTCTCAGTCAACAAGGGAAAACCACCATGGAAAATTCATGTTCTTCACTAAGCAGAGCTGCCACATATGAAGGTCGTTCTACACCAGAGAAGTAAGATAACCCCTGTAATGCTGCCCACCAATCCATTGTTCTGAAAAATCTAAATAATTTCACTCCATTTACTTTCTATATCTGAGAGATGACATAAACAGAATTAGTGCATGTCAGAAACAAACAGCATATGCATGTAATGAATTATGTCTGCCACTAAAATGAAATAAATGAAGAAAAAACAATGGAAAGAGAAATAAATGATTTACCACTGAGGTGCATTTATTAACACCTCTTGCTTTAAATACCAAGACAATGATACAAACGATCACCTTTGGTATGAACACACCCATGCATCCCTCAGGACTGTTCTTGAAATAGTTCTTAAACATCAGAAGCTTTCAAACGGGGGCTATTTACATGATTAGAACTATTACAAATAGCAGTTCCATTCTGAATTTCTAATACGAAGAACAGCTGCTCAAAGTCACACATATGTTTTTATTTTACAAATGTAAACTAGACTACATAGGCAAAAATGATTTAAACAAAGAAAATACATATTTCCTCTTGTAGGCCCACCAAAACTTTTATTCACCTCAATTTATACTTTCTCTTCCACCTTATTTTAGGCTCTCAAACGGTTTCTACAAACTTGGTAAACACAAAATGACACAAAGCTGCTCTTTGGCTGGTAAATTTATTTAAACTAAATAAACAAATATAAGTCATACACCTATCAGTCAAATACTCTGTCACTCTTTTATGTTCTCACTAATAAAAGAAATATAACTGCACAACCAAGCTAACTATCCCAAAGAATTCAAAAATTACACACTCTTGGTTTGGCTATTTAATTTTTAGTTCAAGAGTAACAGAGAGATAAAAAGCAGTAATAAGAGTTATAAATGAAACAATATAACAAGCAGCAGTTAGCTAAATGATCCTACTGTTCAAAGGGTCTCATATGCCTGAGATCAATCTCCTTTAAATTTACCCCCACATGCAGGCTCAGGCTTTGCCATTATTCTTCTTCTACGTACTGGGAATTTGTTGGATCCTGTGGACGACGACAAATGCATCAGACAGCCCCACTTTCACTGGGTGGTTGGTTGAACTTATCTGTGTGACCAAGACAGGTATCTGGAAAAGAAAAGGCAGATTGTTATGTGTTAGATTTCACTTTAATTCTGCGGTGAGGGCGGAGAGGGTGATCATCTTGTGTAATGGGTAAAATCAGGTAAAGGAGATGAAGGGCCAGGGAGAGAGCAGGTAGGTATGTTAGAAAAGAAAGGCACACAATCCCTAAAAAACCACATGGTTAGGGCTATTCAAGGGGTGAAAGTGACAGGAGGGTTCCTGGTCCGACATGCTACTTGATGACAGGAATAGATTCTCAGAGAATCTGATGCTGAATGTGAAAGCCTATCACACCTACAGGCATACCATGAATGCATTTAGTGCAGGCTATCATTTCAGGAACAGAGATTCTTCTTGTACCATTTGTTTTCCTAAAAGACTTTATTATGTATTTATTTTCATAGTTAAAAATACCCTTATTTACAAGTGGTCTTAAAGATATAAAACCTAGGGATAGACAAATAAGTGACTGCTAAATATATATTTAAAGTAACACTGTTGATTAATATATAGTAAAATAGGGCAATTGTTAATGGATGTTGAACTTTACAATTCTTCTTGACACTTATATGGAAAACTTAATTATTATGGGTCATCTTAAGTCACATTTCCTAAATTTAAACCTCAATGGAGCCAAATTCTGAATATGACAGACATTTGTAATATTTGTGGTTTAAAAAAATTAGGACTATTGAGAGTATATTAAATGTGACACATGTTACAAATGAGAAAAACCCTTGGAACTGGTTTTGCTAGATTTGGAAAAGAGCCATTGGAAATATGATTACTATCTTTATGATCAGGGAATAGAATCATCTTCAATAAATAAAGGCCTAAGAAACAAAAAGGGAAAGGATAAATGCACCAACAAATCTTCAGGTAGACGAAACAGATTGTGGGCCATCTGTGGGTAATTCATTAAAGGGCATATTAGATTAGACATCATTGTATAGACCATAATAAACAGCACAACAATAAAAGAGAAAGAGAACAGCTTAGAGATAAGACATACTAAGAGATCTACTGCTTATTTTTGCCCATGGCATTACAGAATTGAAGGGTTTTTTTATTGAAATTGACCAATGAAGAGGGAAGTTCAAGTTTCCGAAAGTTATGGAACTATCTTGAAACAAATATACAGAAGATGACATTTTTTTCTTTATGTAGTAGGCCAGTCTTCTTTTAAACAATATTAAGGTATTGCCAATTTTACATCACTATGTCCAGTTCTTAAGCATCATTAAGAAGAATTCTGAGATTTGTATGGCTGAAAGAAAAACAAAACCAACATTTCTGTCTCTAAAAGTTTACTTACTAATGTAACTTTGATATGCTTTATTTAGTGATTACTAAGCCAAAGTCAGTAACCGTGTACATAATCCCTGATGTATGTAATGGACAGTATACTATTACCCAGTTTTATACTCTATGCTGAGGAGTGCTAACATAATATAATCTATATTGAAGACAGACTTACAGTTAGAGAAGAAAAGACAAGAGGATAGAAAAAGCATAAAAAACTTGCCAATTCAAGTTATATTTGGTATACCCTTACAAGACAAAGTCATAATTTTATACAGCATTATGAAGAGATGCCTGCTTAGGAGTAAGAATGAAAGCTTTGCTGTTTGAATTTCTCCCTTGCTTTCATTCTTCCTTATCTATGATTGCAGTTTTCCTCTGCCAGGCGTGAAATATTTTACCAGATAATTCTGTGGTAATTGTCTTTCTTCTTTCCCCATACTCAAAGCAGAGCTTGGTTTAAATTCCTACCAATTAGAATTTAATACTTGGTGAATGTTTTATTTTTGTATGAGAGCTTGTTTTCCAGATCACATGCCTTGCTTCCTGAAGACCTTCTAGGACAGTAGCTTCCCCTTCTCTTCAGATCACTTCCTCTATCTCTCTTCCTTACCTCTTCCCATACCTCACCATTTCTCATTTTGATTTTGTTTTCTCCACCTTTTTCTTTCGTTTCACTTCCTTCTTTTATATTTTGTCTCTAAGCCAAAACTTCTTCTGCTTTTTATCTGTAGTATATTGGTTATATTAATGGCTTCAATCAGTGGCCTCTTTGATTCATACCCTTTACCTCTGCACTTACGGCCCTCTCCCACTGACTGTGGCTCAGTAATATGGCAAAAGAAGACAATAAACTTGAAGTAAAAGAGAGGCTTGTAAAAGTACTTGAACATTCATTGACACCTTCCTTGGACTCCTGCCATGCCTGTGAGAATGTGCCTGCTGGTCTGTTGAAGATATATGGGAGACATGTGGAGGAAAGTCTTCTTTCCAGAACAGGTCACGCTTGACCAGCTGGCCCTTAGCCAGTCCACCAGTTAACAGCTGGCATATGAGTGAGCTCAGGTGAGACCAGCAGAGTCCAACCCAGATCAGCAGACCCACTAAGCTGATCCATGAGTATCTTGTGAGAAATAAAAAATGGAGTTGTTTTAAACCACTACATTTTTGGGTGATTTGTTACACGGCAATACTAACCACTACATTCTCTATTAAAGATCTAATAGCCAATACAAATTTCTGTGGGTGTTTTTACATAAAATGAACTGGTCCTCTTCCTCCTAGGTTTCTGGGAATCAGGTACCTATCTCTTTACTTCTAGGTACAATTATACTTGAAATATTGGATTGTTACGGTAGAAAAGTTCCATTTTCTGCATCTTTTTTCACTCTTCTATATCTCTTTATCTTCTAGCTTATTCTTTTCCCTTTGGATTCCAAAAACAAAGATCAATGTGTGTAAGTTACCTAGATACAGATTCATTTAACCTAAGGAAAGTCCATACAAAAACATAATGGGTAGTTTAATACTGTAGGAAGTTCTCTACCATTGAAAATAATTCCATCATAAATTGGCCAACCCTCAAGGAAGATAGCCATGCATGACTTACAGGGACCCTTTTAAGCCTCAAATGCAGTTATTTCATTCTGTTGAATGATCTTGACTTTTCCAAGCTTCAACAAGTAAATTGTTAACAATGATCCAAACAAAAATTATAACAGTGAAATACTCTACATGTATGAATAAGAGCATAAGAAAGTAGAAACCATCGTCTGCTTCTAAGGGCAACATTTTAATGCTGCTGTGTTTTAGATTTACTTATTCATGGAAAGTATTATTGATGATTGTTTCTGACAAACCACTTGTAAGTCCAGAGAGAGGAAAGCCCAGGGCAAAATAACTCTAAAAACCGAAATCAGTCAAAGGGAGAAATAAAGTTCAAAATTCGTTTATTGCTTACAAACTGAAGTTTGTGGCCTTCTTTCTCCTCTGCTCTGGAAGAAGCCAGCAAGCAAGCCAGCCCCCTCCCCTTAACCTCTCAGGTTCAGACAGGGCCTCAGTTGCCCAGGTAATTACCCATTGACATGGAGATGAACTTCTCTCCACCCCTGAGGATATGCAAATGTACTAAAGCCAGGCGAGATGTTCTTGAAATGTTACAATTTTACCCACTCCACTATACTACCAAAATATCTCTATTACGAGACAATGTAATATGGGAATATAAAATAAGAAATAAATTTATGAGAATTATCTCTACTATATAGAAATTATTTTCCCCAAATGGTATATACACTCTCCATGTTATTTGACAAGATACAATTCATTCACTCATTTATCTGATATTAACTGGCCATTTTCTCTGTATTATTTTAGGCACTGGAATTACAGAAGAGAACAAAACAAAGACTATGCTTTCATAGAGCTCACATTCTAGAGGGTGGAAACTGACATTAAAACAAACATAAAAACACAGTATGCTAAGAGGTGCTAAGTGCTAAGGAGGAAGCTAACACATGGTAATGGATAGGAAAGGATGGAGGCTTTTTAAGAGAAGGATTCACAGAAGGTTTCTATGATAATATGGCTCTTCTGTAGGAAGAGAGTCTGTGGTGTGGGTATTTGGGGAGCAGCCCTGAGTAGAGGGACCAGTACATGCAAAGGCCTTGAAAGAATGGCTTTTGTGTCTTTTAGGAATTAGAATGTTATCACTGTAGCAGAAGGGGCAAATAGGAGTGTCAAAGGTGTCAAAGGAGATGGAGGTGGTGGAGGCACATCATGAGCATGTGTTTCTTGAAAGCCATGGCAATAACTCTGGATTTTATTCCAAGCCATACAAGAAAAGTTTAGAGGGTTTTGAACAAAGGAAGGACATTCTCTTACATCTGAAAAAAATCATAGGGGCTACAGTGTGATCAAGACTATATGGTCTTGTCTATAGAGGACTCTCTATTTACAAGGATATGAAGTACCCAATCAGAGAAGCCGTGGTCATGGATAATGTCCAAGTCTGAAAACTAGAAACTTTGCTTATGGGAAGCTCTTTTTTGTACTTTCTACACATTTATATTCATCCTCAAAATTGTTCCTAAATTAATTCCTGGGGATGTCAGGAAGTCATCCTGAAACAATAAAACTAAACTATAGATGCTTTTTTTTAAAAAATGTAGTTCTATTATTTTCAAGTGCCTATAATAGTTGCCTTCTTATGATTAAAGCAAAGCTAAATTTTCACTTGGCCTCTGTATGATTTGAATTGAATCATCAATTTCTGAGAGTGAATTTTACAATTACAGTCATTCCATGGATAGATAGAGAAAAGGAGCATTCACTCTGATTTAAAAATGCTTCCATTTCAGTTTACAAAGCACTTATAAATTCTTTTTTAGGTGTTTTAATTTCTGTCCCATTTTATAAGACACAGATAAGTATATAATTTTAGCAGGTATTAATTTTTCTATAAATGATAAAGTGAAGCAAAGGAAGTATAGAAGCAGAAAAGAGTTTCACAAAGGCAAATTAAGGCAGGGAAAGTTGTTAGGAGTGGGCAAGGTAGGGCCAAGCACACTGGCCTTCAGAGAGGGTGGGAAGACAGAGCTGCCCCCTTTTCCATGCTGCAGTATCATTCCGCAGGACACAAGAATCCAACACAATACCTAAAATGTGAACTTTTACATCCATCTCTAAAACGGGGAGATAAC